CGGCCACAATGCACTCGTTGGATGCGCAAAATGCTATCAAAGAGGTACCTACCAGAATTAACAATGTGACCGTCTTTAGCACATCCCTGGGGGATTTAAGGACAGATAGGGATTTTCCAGAAAGAAAACAAAAAGATTTTCATAAAGCCTTTCATCAAAATAAGCAAAGCGAGCTAGAGATGATTGGAATTCAAATGGTCACCCAATTTCCGATTGAGCCTATGCATTTGCTGGATCTTGGTGTTGTACGGAAGCTTATTGTCTCTATTTTAATGGGCAAAACAACAGAAAATCTTGGGGTTGCTCAAAAAAATTTAATTTCTACAAAATTGGTTGCTATGAGTCCATTCATTCCCAGGGAATTTCAGAGAAAACCTCGAGGTGTTCATGAAATTCGCAGATGGAAAGCAACTGAATTTCGACAATTCGTTCTATATACAGGATCAGTACCTGCTAATTAGTGTAGCTTATCGATTACTTTCAACACCTACAAACTTTAGTTTCAACTTGGATGCTGCTGATGAAATGCTCAAACTTTTTGTAGAAAATTTTCCTTTTTTTTTTGGCAAATCCAGTGTGACTTTCAATGTGCATAATTTGCTTCACCTGAGAAAGAGTGTAGAGAATATGTGTATTCTTCCAAATTTTACAGCATACGATTTCGAAAATTTTATCCAACAGCTCAAAAATAGTATTCCAAGACCTTCGAACATTTTACAGCAAGTGCATAACAAATTTATCGATACAGACCTCAAACAAAGATCAATTCCTACTGGCTTCAAAAGAAACAGAATAGGGAAAATTTTAAGCTTTCAAAATGATAAAATGTTCTTAAGCACAATATTGCCAGATAATTTGTGTTGTATAAAGCCTTTTGGAGTTGTTAAAATTCTAAGCTTTTTAGAAGAAAATAGATTCGAAGGTGTGATTCTCACAAACCTAAATAACCTTTTTGAAGAGCCTTGCCAGTCTTTGAATATGTTGGGTATATGTACAGGTGATATTTATGAAAGAAGCCTTAAAAAAGAAATCTTCATGTTAGATAATATACAATCTAAAATGATGTATTTACCAATAGATAATAGATATTTGCTGATTCCTCTTTTACATAGTTATAAAAAAATCTAAATTGTTAATAATTATTTACTAACTATATTTAGCTTTAAGACAATGTTGAAAAACACTTTCAAAAGGAAAGCATTTCAAGCTATAAATGTGACGGAAAACTCTTCGGAACCGCCCGTACAAGTAGATGAGCAAATTAACGGTAACTTATTCACTTAATAATTTATCTTTAAATCTGTAATATATTCTATATGTTTCTCCTTTCAGGTTTAACATCTAGAATAGACAAGCTCGAAGAAACAATAAATAAGCAGAACGAACTGATAATGGGAGAACTTGCTTCCATTAGTATTTGCCTTCGCCAACTTGTATCTCGCAAAGAAAATGACAACTTGAGGAAGATGTTTCCTGTTGAGACGGAAGAGGAGTTAATAAATTTAGAAAACATTGAAAATGTGGACNTACAACTTGAGGAAGCTGTTTCCTATTGAGACGGAAGAGGAGTTAATAAATTTAGAAAACATTGAAAATGTGGACGAGAAGGAATTGGTAAGTAAAGGATTCATAAAATAAATAGGAGGCATGTATACAAGGAACGGAGAAAACAAATAAGTTGATTCAATAAAATTTTACA